TATTTTGTAGTGATTGAATGCTTCTTTTTTGTATGCTTGCTGTGCAGAAGGATTAAGTTGCAATGGATAGATCCACTCTCTCCTTCCTTCATCGTAGATTCCGCCTGTCCACATTCTTGGCGTCGGGTCAATTTCACATTGTCTACCATAAACCTTGCCTTCACCATTAAAAGCCATTGGGTCAAAATGGCTCCTTGTTTGTATCCCTGAATTTCCTTCCGCTGCTTCCACAAAAACATCCAACTCAAGAATAAAATCACCATACTCTTTTTCAGTGACTAAAAATGTATTTCGTGATTTCGCTACTGTCCTACCTACGATGGCACCATCTTCTACTGTATATTCAGCACTACCACCCAATCGTTTCCAACCAGAAAGATCCTTGCCATTAAAAAGATTTTGCCAACCTTTCTCTTGGCTTTGCCCTGCGTATGCAACAATCATAAAAGCAGCTAAAAAACTTATTTTGAATCTAAGCATATTAAGGTATTATGGTGTTATTCAAATATCTTGAACATAGATAAGTTATACCTATTTTATAAAAGAAAAGGCAAAATAGTAAATTCTTAATATTAATGAATGGATTATTATTAATTTTAGTAAATAATCGTAAAGTCAAGTTATATTTTTATTACTTGAAGTTGTAGTTAATAAAATTGTTGAAAGTGTAATGGCTTCTTTATGATAAAATCAAAATAATATTAAATGATTTTAAAATAATGTATTACAACACATCCTTCAAAACCGACCACACATTCTCTCTTACAATAAACTGTCCAGCAGCATTCGGATGTTTACCATCTTCAAGATTTAGTTTAGGGATAGTCGCAACATTGACCAATAAAAAAGGTATCAATGAAGCATTGTATTCTTTGGCAAGTTTTGGGTAAATAGCTGCGAATTGTCTAGTATAATCGTTGCCCATATTCGGTGGTGCTTCCATACCTGCTAGAACTAACTTTACATCAGGATTTGAAGCTTTGACTTTATCTAAGATGGCTCTAAGATTACTTTCTGTTTCTTTGAGATCGAGACCGCGAAGCACGTCATTGGCGCCAAGCTCCAGGACAAATACATCTACTTTTTGTTTGAGTACCCAATCGATTCTGTTTTTTCCACCTGAAGTTGTCTCACCACTGAGACCAGCATTGATGGCGGTGTATGGCATTTTTAGACTATCCAATCGCTGCTGAATGAGTGCCGGAAAGGATTCGTTTTCGTCTAGTCCGTAACCTGCTGTAAGGCTATTTCCAAAAAATAAAATGTACTTTGTGTCGGATTTTTGAGTAGCTACATGGCCAGAATCAGCATTTTGGTCTTGAATTTCTGCATTATTCCCAACTTGTTGGTCTGCTTCTTGTTTAGACTTACATCCTTGGACCATAAAACCACCGATGATTGCAATCAAAAGCGTTTTAAAGGCATTTTTAAAATGGTATAAAGTTATATTTACTGTCATTTTTTGCTTTGATTTACATTTATTAACCAATATGCCGCTAAAAGAGTTTTACAAAAATTAAAAATCAATATATGTCTTCCATTC